ACATAAAGATACAGGCTCATATGCAGGCCTCTCCCTGGTGACCTGGATACTCCCAGAACTGACACTTTATCTCCTTAACAGTGTCACCTTGAAAAGCCTGCCCCAGTGACACACACACACACACACACACACACACACACACACACACACAGACACACACACACACACACACACACACACACACACACACACACACACACACACCAGCTTGTCTGTAAATATCCCCCCACAAATAACAGCGATATGTGTCTGTCAGGTTTAGGGGTCTCCACCATGCTCTTTTTAAGGCTCCGGCTTCATATCTATAATTGAAGGTAATCGGCTGGTAAAAGGATTGTAAAGGGTTTTGCGCTGTCGTTAAGTATTGATCATAAGCGCTGGCTTTTTCATGGTCCTGCCATTGACCTCGTAATTGATTTGGTGATCATCTTTTCTCTCCCCTCTGTCGTGTTTGATATTTGACTTTGCTTGCTGTAGTGTCTCCAGATTTCTTTGTCTCCTATGTTTGTGTACTTCTATCCTTGTAAGAACCAATTAGGATGTAGTGTGCTGTACATGCAGGTTAAGTCCAGAGTTGAATTTAGATTTATGGATTACATCCAGTGCCATGTCCTCACAAGTGTTACAAGTCTAACAAGTAGGAGGCGTGTGTGCACTTGATTACATGTGCATGTGCAAGCGAGCTTACATTTGCAGCGATCTGACCCGTGTTCCAGCGGGTGTAATTGATTGTGTGTGTGCCGGTGTCTCTGTGTTAAGGTTAATTTCTCTAACTGCTGGTAAGTGCTGTCTGACCGCTCCCCTGGCGGCCTCTCCGAGCTGAAGTAATGCCACTTAGAGGCCCCGGGCCCCCGCCGCCGGCCAGCCCATTGATCCGCGGATCAATAATTGCATCTGTACCGTACACGTTAACAACACACACACTGGTGTAAAGCAAGCAGTCGCGCCGCACAAACGGTTAGCAAACTGCAGGCCAGGGATCATCTGAGGGTGCTTAAAGAAGTCTCCAGCAAAATCAGGTTCTGTTATTTCAGCGTCATTTAATTCATTTGACATTAACCCATATGGAGAGCTCATATCACTATTATATCTCCATGCCGTGAAGACAGTTCTCCTGACATATTTTTGTCTGATCAATGTTGAACACTTTAAACAAGACAGTGACAACAAAGCAGAGACTACAAGAAGAATAGGCACATGGTGATTTCAATGTTATCTTAACTAAAGAGCTGCCAATTGGTTGGATCGATTATTTGATCAGGAGGGAAAAAAAGCCAACTCTTTTCACTGTTGATTAGTTGTAATTATTGATGCAGACATTTTTGATAAATCCTCTCAAACATGGAGATTTCCATCTCATATAAGCTGAAAGTGAATGTTTTTCAGTTTTGGATTGACAAATGTCAACATTTAGAGAGATCTTCTTGGTCTTCGAGGAAAAATCACTTTTGACCCTTTTTGACGTTTTACACAGATTAGCCGATAATGAAAATAATGGGTGGGTTGCAGCACAACTATAGCTTTGCTTTCCATCAGCATTTCTAATCAGGTCTATTTCTGGGACATTCACTTTTAGAACTGTAGGACTGTTTCTATGACTGCCATGATTCTTAGCAACCAGATCTGACATTTAAATTCACTTTTGATGGCGATTTAACAAATATAGCTGTCGTGTTTCCACAATAGTCCAAATAGTTCTCAGATCAGGTCATATGGATAGAGAAATAAATAGAGTCAAGCACTATGATCCGATCTGAATTACCATTCATTGCATTCATATAATAGGTACTATAAGCTTTATAGATGTGTATCCTTACTCACTAATTCAGTTTTAATAAGACTTTCCTGTCATCTGGAAATCAAAATGACATCACCGCTTGTCTCTGCAAGCCTCTCTTCCTCCTGTTGTTTTATTCCTCTCAGGGAGCCTCCATCTTGTTTCAGATCACAGCCAATAAAGCAGCCTGCCTCTCTCTATCTCATCCTCTCTCCTACTTCCTGTTAAAGGAATCAGTCAGTCAGAACACTCAGAACACATATTAAACAGGCATCAGCCTCTCGCCGGGGCCAAATCACGCTGTTCCAATGTTGTTCTTCCACCGGGAGCGCAGGACAACTGAAGAGATGGGATCTGCAACATTAACTTGATTCACGGCTGCGGCGACTGAGTGACACCCCATAAACCTCAGCGGGCCGCCGCCGGGTCCCGCCGACAGCACCCCACAGCTAATGTGACACACACTAGCAATGCGTAGCCTTACCACCCCCACAGCAATACACACACACACAAGCAGGGACTGCCATATACATACAAATACATTTACTAGCATACACCAGTTAAGCCTGACATTAACATCCACCCACATATTGACACATACATGAATTCAGAGTCACATACATGTGTACATATATCTGGCAAAACCAAACTTTACGGAGCTGAACATACACATATTGTCAGGAGTTCACACACCAAAATGCCCCCTGTGTCTTAAAACACACACATATATACAAACAGGCGGTATAATAATGCAGCAGAAACTGCACAAAATTGAGTTATTGTCCTCTCACAACGACCTCTCGGCTCGCAGCGTTTTGGCGTAGGCAGTTAGCATGGGCCCTGTAGCTCTGTGTAAATAGGTAACCTCTCTGCTGCTCAAAATGCCAACTTCCTCCGGCTGCCTTCGACAGTGCCGACTCCCTCCACACACTAAGTACTGCAGTTGTCACTTGAGATACAAATAGCACAGTCCGAATTGCTTTTTACTACACAGACTTGTTGCCTGTAGTCACAGTGAGTTTTTCTGGTTAAAGAAATGTACATTGTTATCTTGTACAACATGTGTAAGGAGGGTAGATAAATAGAGACACATTTAGATTCATAATGTGACAATTGAGACAGAAACAACAGGCAGACCTCAAGTCTTTCTCCTTAGGCCCAAAATCAGGGAGTTTTAGCTAAATAGTTTTTTTAAATAATGTTACGTTTGAATACAATATTACCATTATATCAATCAGAACAAGGCTGTACTTACCAACAAAAGTCCCTCTTTTTCATCTATTTCATCAGTTCTCCTTTACTCCTTTAAGGAGACCAAAGATATAAAATAACCATTTTTTGACTTTCCCAATATTCATTTATCTTCTGTGACATGTAGGTTTGTAAATGATCTATCATTTGTTAGGCCAGTTATGATTCAACTCAGTAAACACTGTCCTTCTTTTCAGTCTTTGTGAAAAGAGATTTTTAAGTGGCTCTCTTTTGCCCAGTGTTCTCTCGTTTTTAACTACTCCCTAAAATAAACCTAGCAATTGTAGAGAGGTGTGCGTGTACACGTGCAGTTGTCTTTCAAATAACAAGTTCTTGTTTTTTTTACTTTTTATGATGATATTATATGCTAAAGCATTAGCTCAGGACAGATGTATATACAGAGGGATGTCACCATACCTTTAATACGAAACGTTTAATAACATACACTCCCCTATTACAATTTGCATACTGGTTTTCTCTAATAATTATTTTGCCGTTTTGGACCTGCTTCCAATGCAAAGTACTTGGTGCCTAGAAGGTCTAGAAAAGAACAGAAACCCCTGCGTTTGGTGTTTAATTGATAACTTGAAGGCTCGTTTGAGTTCTTAGCTGAATCTACGAGCTACATTTAACTCTTTGTACACAACTTAACACCTTCACCTTTGCTTACGGTCATTTTCTAGACACTATCATCTCCAGCTCTTCCTATTAAGAGAGCATCTGCACAAGACGCAAGTTGTTGTTACTGAAGGACTAGTGGTCACTGCCTACTTGTCCAATAAGAGCAAGAGTCGAGTCTCTGTGCCTGGACAGGCCACAGTTGGGTCAGATACTGTTTGCCGCACAACTCTGACTTTCTGATCACATTGTCAACCTTGGGAGCGCAGGACATTAAATGTCAGGGGGAGATAGGAGTATCAATGATTGATGACTTTGTTCCTGTATGTACTGAGGGATCTGTGTGATCTCATCGCTGCCCTGGGGGGTAAACCTTGTTCCCTTTCGAAATGTCAACTTTTCAGGAAATGAGCTAAAAGCAACAAAAGTTACTTTGTTCTATCCAAAAAAAATTCATGTTTTTCAAGAGAGATTTGGATACTTTAAAGAGCAGGTGTAGAATCCGCGCACTTTGAAAGGCAAATCTTAAGTCGACACTAAATACTACATATGTGGGTCCATTTATTCCGTGCGTGCTTCCATGTGGTGCGAAAACAGTCCCTTCTCCACTGTCTCAAATTCCAATTTTTCTGCATAGATTAGCCTATCTGTGTGTGAGCCAGGCGCTGTTTAAACACTGGCATTTCTAACACTGTTCCTATCACCTTGGAAACGCCATGGCAACCTGTGATCTGAGAGGGCACAGTGTGGCTCAATTAGCACCAGCCTTGTCTCATCACCCTCTCCCCCCCCAGCCTAATATCTCCATATTCTGTCTCCTTTCAAACATTAAGTGACACAAACATGTGACGTGTTACATCACCTTTTTGTATCAACTTCTCCATACTGTGGCCTTTCCCTCACAGTGATGGATGCACAGACGTAGTAATGTGTGGTTACCAAGAACATTAAGAGAGAGGCTGAACATAAACTGCCCTGTGTGATACCGTTTATGTAGTTATTTTTGCTCTGTTTGATACTATCCTGATCATCCTGGCATTAAAGAAAATCCCTCCTATATCTCATTTGAGTTTCTTTTATCTTTTTCTATTTTTATTGACTGTAAAAAAAGACATGCCATGACTTAATGAAGATATACAGGGTGTTAAGGGTACTCACCTTAATCATAGTATTAATTTTGTTAGCGAAAGCTACGAGAAAACACGTTTGTCGATTACCTTTTATTCTACTAGACAAACCCGACAAACAAAATGGCCTTGAACACCAACTTAGATACATTACTTGATATCATCAAAAATAACACTATGTTGGCAAAAATGTGACACATAATGTCAAATGTCTCTCTGTATTTCAGGCATTGTGTCCAAGTCTTTCGAGTGCCGTCTGAAGGGTCAGGGGGCCACGTTTGTGGAAACAGAAGCCATGGAGTCCCCGGTGCACATTAAGGGCTCTGATGGCGCCTGCCACGATGACTCCATCCAGCAGGTCATCATCATCCAGGGCTACAGCGGCGGGGAGGTGACCATCGACCAGACGCTGGAGCAGTCTGCCGCCGCCACCCTGCAGACCCTGGCTATGGCCGGCCAGGTGGCGGAGGTTCTCCACATCACAGAAGACGGACAATTCATCGCCTCGGGCCGGGAAGTGGCATCGGGGGGGGCCCACCTGGCCGGGGGCAGCACCCAGTACGTGGTGCTGGAGTCGGGGGAGGCCAGGAAAGAGCTGCGGGCCGTGGCCAAAGGAGGGATGGGGGTCCCAGGACAAGGTCACATGGTCTCAGAGTCCTCCACAGCTCTGGACGCTCTGCTTAGCGCCGTCAGCGAGATGGGGCATCACGAGGAGCAGCAGGAGGGGGCTTCCGCCGTTGATCACGAGTCCCCTGAAGTCGCCGAGGCGGTGCAGAGTGTAGAGCAGCAGGAGAGGAAGCAGGAGCAGGAGGAGATGCAGGCGAGGGGCCGGGAGGAGATGCAGGAGGTGCTGCAGCTCGCCGCCTCGCAGATGATGAAGGAAGGCCTACACCAGGTGATCGTCAACGACGAAGGGACGCACTACATCGTGACGGAGCTGGACAACTGCACCCTGCAGGTGGAGGGAAGCATGTATGGAGAGGTGGGGGGGGGTGAAGAGGTGGTGCAGCATTCGGAGCCGCAGGCTGGAGAAGAGATGGTGGTGTATCTGGATGGAACCCCTCATAATATCGTTCTGGAAGGGTAGAAGAGAGAAAATTCCACTTAATGTTTGATCTCAGTTCTTTTTTTTATTCTGTTAATGCCTTTTTTTTCATGACTTTTTAATTTTGTATTCTTTTACCTCTTGTGCTAAACTCAGGTCATTTATTCAGAGGGACAGTCTTTGGTGTTGTGTTAGTCAACTTCCAAACTTTTCAACCACCAAGACGTCAATAACCACTCACTGATTAATGCATTGCAACGAAAGAAAATGAAATGAGTTCCGCCTAAAATATTATTTTCTCAAAGGTTCTCTCTAATATTCTTAGTCAGTACAAAGAAAAATACGTGTTCTGCTTGTTGTCTCCTTTATGATACCTTTCTTTAACAGTACCTTTAGTTTTGTGCAGATGGTAGAACCTTGACTTAGACTCAATAGTGTATTCATTGTTTCTACTTTCTATTATTTCCTTTATTCACATCCTTTGTAGGTATTGTTTATTGCTGAGAATGAACTTGGATTTAGAAATATGAAAAACAGATGATTTATTATAAAATGAAGCTGATGTACATTAAAACATTTCTAACACCCTTCATCTGTTGGGAAACCTCTAAAAAACATAAATGCAATTTCATTTCTGACAATAAAGATTGATTCTAGTTTTTAACAACCGGGTCCAGATTATTTTATCAGTACTATTTACACCGTTACATGTACACTATGGGCGATACGCACGCATCAGCTGAAGGCTCCCATCATGCTCGCTGATCACTAACAGTCATTACCATCACCATTATCATTATCGTCATCATGATCGCCATCATCCTAATCGTCATCCTCTCTCCTCTCAGGCCCATTCTGTTTCATTGCATGCAACACACTCATCCTTTTTCCCCACAGCAGTATTCAGCACTGGAGGGAGAATCAATATTCATTTAGGCCCCTACACAGGCCCCCGCTTTCTGATGGAGTGAGTGGGAGAGCAGTATGACGGCTGCAAACACAACGGCCAACCGCTGAAAGTGGAGAGACAAAGCACTCATACGCACGGAGGGCATCAAAAGATCATCCCTTTAACACACACACAGAAGTGCCAAGGTGGGCTGCAGAGGGAAAGCGATGGAGGAGTGAGCAGGAAAAAATGAGAGGATTACAGATGGATGTTGAGAGAGGTGAGGCCAGAGAGAAGTGAAAGAGCGGTGAAATCCACAACCGCACCGAGAGAAGGGAGCCTGTAATTTCACACAACACCTGTCTGCCTTTCAGCCCGTCTTTGTCTCCGGCTCTCAGCCCCATGTTGCATTTGTACACTCTTTTCATAGTCCTTTCTCATCTCCATTCAGCAAAGATAGACACATTTATCAGAGGTCACGTTTTCTGTGTGAGCAACCATACGTGCCTGCGAGCGGGAACCAACGTTTGTTGACAGCCACTGAGAGGTAAAAGATGCAACAACAACATTTGAATGCCTTAAAAGCATATGTTTTATATTTTGAATTGCTTTATTTTATTCAGGTGTAATGTCAAAATAACAAATGTAAGTATGTGTAAGTGTGGGGGTGAAAAGGGGTTACATATTATAATAGTACACAGAATGTGCTTGCATTTAATCATGAAATGCATTCAAAACGCATTATTTAAAGGGTACATAGTTTGCTTATTTTCTGGTTGTTACTTATATTTGAGGTTTCTACTAGAACATTTTACTTGCTTTAATGTAAAAAAAAAAACCTTTATTTGTCTTATTAATTCTGTCTGAACATACCTTTATTAACTCTGTCTGAAACGCTCCGTTTTAGAGTCTGTCACTTTAAGGCCACTTCCTGAAAAAGCCCTCTGCAAGAGAAATATGGTGCCCCTGTTCAAAGGTAGGTATAAAGCTTGTTGAATCTCAAGTTTCGAAACGTTTTTTATAATCTGTCTCCTTTAAATTAGTGTTTTTGAACTTTTCTTTTGCTTGTGGCTCGCTCAAAAGCCAAGTCTTATTGTGATCAATAGCTAACGTTATGGTCTTGTCAACCAAAAAAATGAATTAATTAGAAAAGGTAGTTCTGCAGCTTGTTTTTTTTGTGTTCTTTTCTACAGTAGTCTTGCAACCCATCAGATGTATTGTATTACCTCTCACCACTACTTAACATACCATAACATTCTAAACAAAAATCTGATTGCGACTAATATTGCAATATGATGTTGCGATATTTGAGGTTATAATAATACTGTAAATATTATTAAAGATGGATTTGTGCCAAACATAGATTTGTATTAAGTTTGTAGCAATATAATACCTTATTAAAGATGCCTTCCAAATTAATTGCACAACCCTAGATGTATCACATAAATGTTTTCTATGTATTTGACTAGCATCTATAGGTTAACCATATCACTGTGTGCGGTAAAACATAGTGATTGACCTGAGCTAACATCCGCAGTTCACTGTGTGTGTTGGTGTTCTCATTCATAACACTCCGTTCGATGTCTCACTATGGGATGCGCCTCAACGCGTATGCAAACAGAAGCATCAATCTCATTACGCCAATCCTGATTGGCTGGTGATCTTGACGTCTATGTCAGGGAATCCACCCACCCTTTAAGTAGCTTGCGCTACGACGCAGGGTCATTCAAACACCTCTTCTCGCTTCAGAGCACATCTCGCATTATCAGTAGCCGGGCTAGCTTAACGGTCCACAGACTGAACCCAAGCTAACATTCGGTCGACGGGCGCTTGCCGGTTACTTTTTTTGCTTTGCGGAAGAATTGAACAAATATTAACACACCAGTTAATATTGTAATCTGCCCCGCCGTTTTTTCTTTCTGAAATAATGGTAATGTTTGATTTTTTCTTCAAACAGTAACATACCTGTTGCTAGTTTATCCCTCCGCGCCGACACAACGGCGAGCGAGGACGGACTCTTCTCTCCCTAACACCAGAGGAGACGGAGATAAGAAAGATATTAACACACCAGTTAATATTTTTTGGAGAAAAATCTACCCCCTTGTTTTTTCCTTTCGGGATAACGATAAGGTTTGATTTATTTTCTCGGTAACATACCTGTTACTAGCTTCGCGCCGACACCCCGGCAAACGAGGATGGACCCTTCTCTCCCTCACACCAGAGGAGTCGGAGGCTCGGCTCTGCGGCTGCGGGTTTAAGATCTCGAGCACGGACTCACACCAGGTCTGCTCGTCCTGCCTTGGGCTGGAACACGCCCAGGAAGCTATCGATACCCCCGGTTCGTGCGGGCATTGTGCCCGCTTCACCATCAAGAGCCTCCGCCGACGGCTAGCGCGCCAAGCTAGCCTGTCGGGACAGGACCCCTTCATGTCTGTTGATTCGCTGGCCGGCAATCGGGACATGGTGGCGTCCGCCGCTGAGATTGAGCCCTGCGCTGTGTCAGGCTGGGGCTCAACAACGGCGGTAGCCGCAGAATTGGAGCCCCGCGCCGTGTCAGGCTGGGGCCCGGTGGCGGCAAGAGCCGCGAGAGCGGAGCCCCGCGCTGTGTCAAGCTGGGGCTCCCAGCTGGACCTCACCGTGGTTCCACCCGCGGAGGATGTCCTACAGCTGGATTATATGGAAGAGGATGAAGAGGATGCCTCTGAGTTCCTCTTATCCGACTCGGATGAGCACGAAGATGACATCTTCGTTTCATCTGCCCAGGCTGCCAAGCCGGAGGCGATGTCCGCTCCCCCAGGGCGAAAGCACACCAGCTTCGCCCTGCCTCAGTATGGACTTGCAGGCCGTGTGCCAACGCGCTGCGTCCAGGCTGGACATCCCCTGGCCTGAAATGGCCAAGGAGACCTCCAGATCTCGCTATGAGGGGAAGAACTTGCCCCAAGCAGCGAGGATGAGGAAGCAGCTTCTCCCAGTCTTTCCAGAGATGCTGGACGAGGTGTCGGTCTCGTGGAGAGACCGCCCTTTCAGCAACAAGGCCCCAATCCAGGGTGCCTCCTCTTTGGACTGTGACGGCATGGAGAAGCTCGGCCTGCTCCGCATGCCACCCATGGAGCCGCTGGTGGCAGCCCACCTCCAACCGCGGCTGGCTTTGGCACCAAGCAGGAACCCCACGCTACCGGCAAAGGCAGACCGCTTCCAGTCAGCAATGACTGAACGAGCCTATAAAGCCGCAGCTTTGTCCGCCAGGGCGCTCAACGTCCTCGCTGCCTATTGTTCCCGAGGGCATATTTGGCTCCGCTCTAGCTTCGATGCAGCAGCGGTGTGAGTCCAAAAAGAAGGAGGATGAGGCTCTCCAGCTTTGTCTTCCCCGAAGGGTCCAGCCACCGCCTTCAACGGCCCCGCGGCAGTCCTTCGCTCAGGCTGCCTCACGTCCTGCCCGTTTCAAGATCCTGAAACAGCAGAGGCCACAGCCCGCCCCGGGTCTCCAGCCCAGACACGAGGCGAGGATGGGCTGGCCAAGAAAGTCTCCGGTTCCGGCAGCAGCCGCTCAGGCACAGCCGGCCCAGACTTTCAGCCACCAGACGAAGAAGAAGAAGAAGAGGGCGGCCTGACAGCCTCCTCTCCTCTCCTCGATAAAAGAGCTGGAAGTTCCCTGTTCTCCAGCTCCAGAACACGTTCCAGTGTTGGATGCTCATGTGTTTCCGGGGTGCAACCATGCCCCCATCTTCCCGCCGCCTCGAGTGATGTCAGAACGTCCTCCTCAAGTTCGCGCCATGAGGGAAATGGACTTAACATCAACGACAGCAAGCTCCGCTGCTCATTTAAGTCACACAAACACATGTCATCAATATTGTCTTTTAATAAATAATTTTCCACTGTCGTGTCCAGGCTTAAAGCCAAGGGTGCAGTCAATAAAAATGAAAAGAAAGACAATAAAAACAATAAACAGTCTGACGTCTACCCCTCTCTCAGAAGGCGGACGATGGACGGGGCTGTGAAGGCATCACCGCCACGCGCAGTGTCGACCGGGGTTGTCAACCTGGGGTACCATCGTATTCAGACACTAGAGGGCCCCATAACACAACAAATAAAGACACCGAGGGCAGACGACAGAGATGTGACATCTCCACTCGCTTTGAGAAGCGAAAAGTGGAGGATGCTCACAGATTCTGCTTGGGTTTTCAAGACAATAACACAGGGTTACAGACTCCAATTCGCTGTCACCCCCCCTCACTTTTCGGGCATTCTGCATTCGCAAGTCCGGGGAGAGTCGGCCCATATTCTAGAGCAAGAGATCCTCTTGCTACTAGACAAGAAGGCTATATCTATAATACCCTCCGAACAGAGTCAGAGCGGCTTTTATTCCAAGTATTTCCTCGTTCCCAAACGGGGAGGGAACGGAATTCGGCCTATACTAGATTTCAAGGCTCTGAACAAATATCTCAAAAGATACAAATTCAGAATGCTCACTCACACATCTCTGTTGCGTCTCGTGCGCCAAAACGATTGGTTCACATCAGTCGACCTGAAAGACGCGTATTTCCACATCCCAGTATATTATCCACACAGGAAATATCTGAGGTTTGCCTTTCAGGGTGTCTGTTACGAGTACAGAGTACTTCCCTTCGGTCTGTCTCTCAGCCCACGAGTGTTTGTACGGTGTACGGAAGCCGCGATAGCCCCGTTAAGACAACAGGGTAGTCGCCTGGCAACTTATCTGGACGATTGGCTCCTTCTCGCACAGTCGGAGCAAGAGGCTATTACGCAGACGAATG